TGGTGTCATTAGAAGAATCCACTAAACTGACAATCGAAAAAAATACACACAAATATAATGATCCCGGCTCCGCGCAAAGTACGCGCAACTAGTGCAAAGGAAATTACAGTCTGATAAATAATGAACGAAAACGCTGTCGTTTTAGCAGTTCCATATCATAAATTGTTACTATCTTGTTGATGACGGAGACGGAACAAAAATTAGGGTTTCACAAATTTAGAATCGCCGCTTTAGTCGCCGAGCCAGTATATTGCCACCGCCTCTCCCTCCTCCTCCCCAAAGTCAGTTCCTTTCCTGTTGGGTTTTCTCGTAAATTAGGGTTCTATTTTATACAGTGATTTTGTAACCATCAATTTGTTGTGAGAATGGAGCTGTTGGGTTCTTTAGAGTTTGACGAGATTCTTTCTTTCTCCTTTCAGTATATGATAAAATCAATGGAATTCTACTTGTATCCTGTAATGGAGCACTGATTCAACTCCCAACACAGGTTCGCCACTTCCTTAATTGCTCTTTCCATCTTTCCCAACCAAATCCTGACGGTTGTTGTTTCAGCTTTGTGACATGCTTACTGTTTCTAGGCTGTTGAACCTCACTCTTCTTGTTCCTGAGCTTCACAAAACATCGTCCTGGGCTCATCATCGTCCAAGGTATTCTAATATCCTTATTACTCTTCATTCATCATTTAATTGTCTAGTTTATGCTTACAATTCCCCCATTTTTATGTATACATATATATTTTTGTAATTAGATATTGTGAGCTGCGTAGACCACTCTTACATGAAACTTATCTGAGAGAAGACAAGGTCAAACATGGGAGCTCTTGCTCAGGTAGTTTCCTGGATACCCGAGGACGACCTGCTTCTAAAGAACGCCATAGAGGTTAACTCTCTTGTCCTTCACCTCTGTTGCCATTCTTTTCTTACTGGAATTGGACTTACATTTTGATGTCCCGGATGTTTGATTGAGCCACGTATCTCAACAGAGTTTGTCTGAATACACTGGTTATCAGTTTTAACTCTCCAGTTGGTTCTTTGGTTACTTCTTAGTAATTGCTTTGTAGGTGCATCTGATTTTTCTTATTCCTTCATTTGTATGACTTGAGATAACGTGAATTTTAGGTGATAGAATAGGTAGGAGATATCATCACGAAATGGTAAAATTATCATGTTAGTTCTTGTTTGGACTTTAGATCCAGTTAATATCTTGTCCCAGTGTTATGCCGTCTAGTGTGAAAGAGTATGGCTAAATAGATTGGGCTAAACAATATATATTATCGTGATGAGGCAAGCTAGAATTGTTGCTCTAGACAATGTTGTACCACTATGTTAGCAACATAATTATTTTTTGTTAGGGGATTGACGAAAGATGTAAAAAGACTAGTAAATATTTTCCATGAAGGTAATTGGATTTCTGTTCAGAGCTATTTTATGAGGAGATGCATATTAATAATGGCTGACTAATCATCACATTACAAACAATTATGTTCCATGTCTCTTACTTGGCATTTTGCATATCAATCTAGGTTAGCTAAAAAGTCTGTCTACTAGTGTAGTGCTTCTGGAGAATGGAGATATTGCGTGTCTCTCCATTTAGCTTGTTTGGCCTTCTAGCAATGAAATGAATTGATCTCCTTAATTGATTTTACAGGCTGGTGCATCTCTAGAATCGCTTGCTAAAGGCGCTGTGCAGTTCTCTAGAAGATTTTCTATCAGAGAACTGCAAGATCGATGGCATGCACTCCTATATGATCCAGTAGTTTCTGGAGAGGCAGCTCTTCGGATGGCTGAACTTGAACGTACTAACCCTAATTTTCCCACAAAGTTTACTAGAACTGGATCAAAAGAAAACAAAAGTTCATCTAAGAAGAGGAGGGCTGAACAGCTCAGAAGTACTTACCATTCCTTACGGAAGAAATTTCGCACCGAGTCATTCAATTCCTTGGATCTAGGTTTTCTCGTTCCATCAAATGACAGCCATTTCATGGATAATGGTGATGCGGCGCATCTCGGTCTTGAAGACTCTCACATGGACATTATCCACAATGCGTTCCCAGATATCTTGGCTGATGGCGGTTGCGTGACAAATCATGTTGTGTCAGAAGATAATTTACAGGGAAACATCTCCTACGTAGGAGGAGAAAATCTCGCATTCAGTGAACATGCAGCTCCTTCCGGATGTGATGCGGTTCATCAAAATTCCAAACAGAAACTAGAGATTTCTGCGCATGAGCCTAAAACCACAATGGCTAGCACTGATTGTTTCCTGGCACAGCTTTCAAATTCTCTTTTCGAAGACGAGGAGCCGTTCATGGAAGTAGATGGCAAAGAAGTTGACAAGTCGTATTATGATGGTCTAAGCTCACTGTTGGTGAACCCGACAAACGTGAAAAATAGCGGGGTTTTGCCTATTACCACTGAACAAGCTCCTTCCAGCGAACAAGCTCATCCCGTAGATGCGGTTCCAAATGGCCATGTGATCCCTGAGATATATGGGACAAGTGCAGTGAGGTCAACGGAGTGCAAACCTGTGTCTGACTTATCTGCTTTTGATCCTCATCCTGAGATTGTTAATGGTGTTATCTGCTGCCTATTGAACCAAGAGGATCCTGATATTCCGTGTAATGATGACATTCTTCTGTCCAGCACCTGCCATCCAATGTCAGTTTATTCATTAGCCCGGCGGAACTTTAAAGATACAAGCAATCCCATAACTTCATCTGTTAGAGATCTCTCTGCCACTAGGGAAAGAAGTGAGGGACATACACAAAAGAAGATACCAGGACGTTTGCAAGGGTCTTCTCAAGGAAAGCCAGAGACAGGTCAACCAAGTCAATCTACCAAATTCAGGGCATTGACAAGTCCTGAGTCACATAATAAGGTTGGTCCTGCTGGTTCTTCTGGTTCTGCACAGGCATGCGCAAACCCTCTTCTTTCTGATGGTGCAAAAGATGGAAACAAAGAGATGGCCGGTGGAAAACGCATTGTCGGATTTGATGAACATGGAAGCTATTCCGAGAAGGATAGTGGAAACTGTAAAGAGGAAAAAGGTGTATTACCTATAAGTGAAGTGCCGCAAGCAGAAGATGATGATGTTGACTTGATAGAGATTTTAGAACGTGAGCTGGAGATCAGTCATACAGAAGTAGACGAGCAGGTTATTGAGAGTGACGAGGACTTGCCGAATTATTCTGACATTGAGGCTATGGTAACTCTCGACTTTCACCCTTATTCTTGAGCTTTATGATTCATGTACGTCTAAACAATTACGCTCTTTTTATTTCAGATACTTGACATGGACTTGGATCCTGATGACCAAGATAATTTTGATCTCGAAGGTAATCGAGCATATCCATTCTCATTCAGTTGAACTCGAGTTGCTTAACTGTTATCTACATTTTTTTGGGAAAAGAGCTTTTACTAGGGAGTGTTTTCTATGGGTGATGCAAAAGACCTTATAAAAAGGGTAAAGCTTATTTGTAATTCTTTTAAACATTTTCATTTCCAGTCTCCAAGTATCAGAGCCAAGAGATGAAAAGAACAATTATGAGACTTGAACAGGCTGCATATTCATATATGCAAAGAGCCATTGCTTCTCGTGGTGCATTCGCTGTTTTATATGGTAGATATTCAAAACACTACATCAAGAAACCTGAGGTATTATGATCCCTATTCATTTGATAGTCTTTCAAGTATTGTCGTTGTATGATTTATGCTTCTTAATTATTATTACATCACTTGTTACATCATGTCTTCGTGGCACAGGTCTTGGTGGGTAGATCAACAGAAGATCTCTCGGTAGACATTGATTTGGGAAGAGAAAAGCGTGGCAGCAAAGTATCTCGACGCCAGGTTGGTCACCATAGTAGATGCTTCTGTTTTAAGTTAGGTTAGACTGTATGATAAGGAAAAAACACTGAAAATTAACAACTTTGTGTTTGTGTGTGTGTGCGCAGGCGATCATACGGTTGGGTGATGATGGGTCGTTTCATATGAAAAACCTGGGGAAGTATGCAATCTCAGTGAATGAGAAGGAAGTAGACCCTGGACAGAGTTTAATCCTCAAATCTGATTGTTTGCTTGAGGTTTGATCCTCTATTTCACCTTTTGATTGTTACATTATCCCATGACCTTAACTAATGAACTTGATTGTTGCGCTAGATACGGGGAATGCCTTTTATATTCGAGACAAACCAAAGTCGCATGAAAGAGTACTTGAAGAAAATAGGGAAAGGCAACTGAGACCAGAACGAGGGTGAGTGTTCTTTGTGTATTGGCTTGTGAAGAAGTTGAATGATAGTCTCTCTCTTGTAGTCTTGTGTAATGTTACCTTAACCACAGGAACATGTTTTGTAGATCCTTTATTATTACCTGTTTAGTTCTGCAACATGCATAGTTGACCCAGTTTTTTTTAACTTTTTAGCCATAAAATTAAAAAGATTACAACCGAGGTTGTTGTGTTTCCCCGAAGTATGAGTGTTCTTGTTTTTTGGTTGATTCACCTGTTATCTGTGGGCCAACCAATCCACACGCAAAGACGCCGTTAGATATGTCATCGTGTCTGTAAACAAAAAAACAACGTTGAGACTTAACAGGCTTCCGTTAATAAATAAACGGAAAGTAAACCAAACCTGTTCATAGCTTGCGTCCTCTCTTCCACCTATTGACAATTGATATAAGTTGTGTCTTGTAATTAAGATACCATCATATGTCCATTCTACTTTACCGAAAAGGAAAGTTCACTACTTTGTTTTCATAAACTACAGATCTTACTTTACATGGATTCTGCAACTCCTTCTATTTGTAGTATCTCAAGTGGGTCCTTTAATTCTTCAACTCTCTCTTTTCTCTTTCACTTATTTCTTCTTACAATATCTTTTGTCCTCACCTCTACAAGAAAATACCAAAAACTAAACAGAACTAGAACAATGGCAATAGGGAAGATTCAGATCAAAAGGATAGAGAACCAGACCAACAGACAAGTAACATATTCGAAAATAAGAAATGGTTTGTTCAATAAAGTTCACGAGCTCATTCTCTAGTTCCAACAAGCTTCATGAGTTTATCAGCTCTAACACCACGTTTAGATTCTCTCTCTTAAACACCACTCAAGTTAATATTTTACTTGCTTTTTTTTTGTTTGCTTCTACTTAACTACCTTTTGTGTGGTATTGTTGAGTTATAGAACAAAGGAGATCATAGATCCGTACCATACAGCTTCTGGTGTTGATGTTTGGAGCGCTCACTGTGAGTTTTTTTCATCTTTTTAGAACCTTATTCTTGTTCTTGATATGTGTTTTTCTGGTTTGGTGAAAATTGGTGATCATTCGTTGTTGTAGAGAATGCAACAAACCGAGAGGAAAACTGTTGGATACAAGTAGAAATCTCCGACCTCAGATTAAGTATTTGTTTCTGTCTCTTCTCTCATCATCTCTCTTTAAACTGAAAAAAACAAAATTACTAAATATAATTTTTGGTTAATATCCTAGGCAGAGCCTAGGTGAGTGTGTGTGGATAGGGCTGGGCATTTTATTTGTTAAATTTGATTTAATTCGTTATTCGTCTCGATTCGATCCGAAAATTTCGGATATCCGTAAACTTTCAAATCAAAGCAAATACTAAAAATCAATATCCGTTAAAATCGAAGTAAATCACAAATATTAAAATTTTAGGAAACGGATATCCGATCCGATCCAGAAATATATAAATATATGTATATTTTGATTATATTTAAAATTTTAAATGTATAAAATTATTATTATAGCTTATGATTTGACTAATTAGATTCACATTATTACTTATATAAAATTATTAGATAAAAAAAAAAGTTATGAAAATTATAAAAAAAAAAAATCTTAAGTTTTGTGTTATTATAGTTGTTAACTTAAACATAAAAAAAATTATAAAATATGTAAATTCACTATTTCTTTATTTCTTTATTTCTTTATTTTTTATTTTATATATCATGTAAAAAAATTTTACAAAATAAATTTATATAAGATTATTTGTAACGAATGAGATATTCGTAAGTATTCGTAAATATCCGCAAATATCTGTTTAATTTCCGGATATCCGTTTTTCTGGATATCCGTTTTTCCGGATATCCGTTTTTCCGGATATCCGTATTTTTCCGAAGCAAAGCAAATACCAAAATCAGATATCCGTAACATACGAAGCAAATCACAAATACTTTTAAAAACTCGGATATCCGATCCGTGTCCACCCCTATGTGTGGACGAACTTAATTTTCAGGAGCTGCGTAGTCTTGAAGAAGAAATGGAAAACACTTTCAAAACTCGTTCTTGATCGGAAGGTACCATCATTTTTTTCCTTATCTAGCTAGGATTTTGATTAATATGTTCATTTTATTTTGTTTTGATTTAAATATAGCCAGAAGGCTTTTGTTGAAAAGGTAAACCATGTATGTAGTTTACGGTTAGATAATATGTGAACGTTTTGATCAATCCAGTATATATGTTAATGGTACAGTTTAAATCCCTTGGAATCAAATCGATACCACTAAGTAAAAGATCACATCTTCTTCCATCTCCACTCACTTTTGCATTTTATCATATTTATTTGTCTAATTAAGAAAGCTTTTATCAAATTAATCTATATAATTGTCTCAATATCTTTCATTTTTCTATATTTTGTGCTTTTTAAATTAAGTTTAACTTGATAAGAAAATTAGTAGCTCTTATTCAAGTATTAAGTATCTTGTTTTTGGAAGCTGTCGGATTATAGTTAAGCCAGAGTCGGTCCTAGAAATCTACGGGCCGGAAACAAAAAATATTTATTGGCCCTCTATTAATATTAAGTATTAGTTAAGAATAAAAAATATTATAAAAATGAAGAGGGAGCGTCTGTGAACCCATGTAATATAGATTGAGACTGTTTGCGTAGGAAGATTCCATGGCTTAGTGTTCTAGAAAGGTATCGCAAGACACGCTTGACGGCAAGCCAGTGAGCGTCTGTAGGGGAGTGCATGAACTGCGAGAGCCTGTTGACAGAGTAAGAGATATCTGGGCGTGTGAGGGACAAATACTGTAGACTTCCCACGATCTGCCTATATTCTCTAGGATATGAGAGTGGTGAACCAGAAGTAAGCGTAAGTTTTGGAGAAGAGGCCATCGGTGTTGAGACTGGTTTCGAGTGAAGCATCTTCATCTTGGTGAGTAATTCTGTAACGTAATTTCGTTGCATGAGATGCATTCCCTCATTTGTTCTTATCGCTTCAATGCCGAGAAAGTAACTTAAGTTTCCATATCTTTCATGGAGAATCTTTTGGCTAAGTTATCAATGACTTGCTGGACAAGCAGTGGTGAGGTTCCTGTAACCAAAATATCATCCACATACACCAATAGGTAGACAAATTCTTTACCATGTTTGAGTATGAAGAGGGAAGTATCGGCGAGGGAATTTTCAAATCCTTGTGCGAGTAGAAAGTTGTGAAGTTCAGAATACCAGGCCCGTGGCGCTTGTTTCAGGCCGTAGAGTGCTTTTCGTAGACGACATACTTTTGTTGGGTTCTCTAGATCTACAAATCCTGGTGGTTGACAAATGTATACCTAATCGTTTAGATGACCTTGCAAGAATGCCATGTTTACATCAATCTGTCTCACCGGCCAAGAGTGATTCACGGCCAGTCCAAGAACGATACCAGGTTGTTGATGATACCCTTTGGCAGGACTAAAAGTATCAGTATAGTCAATACCAGGTTGTTGATGATACCCTTTGGCAATACCAGGTTGTTGATGATACTCTTTGGCAACCAAACGAGCTTTGTAGCGATCAATGTCTCCATTCGGATGATATTTGATAGTGAAGATCCAATGGCATCCCACTATATTCGTTCCTGCACATACTGCTTCCAAATCCCATGTGTGATTTTTGACTTGAGAGTTGAACTCCGCAAGCATTGTTTCTCTCCACTTAGGGTGTTTCATTGCATGTTGCCAGGTTGTTGGAATCCAGTGGGGATTATCCTGAAGCTGTACCATGAGATTGTATCGATTGATCGGTTTGACAATGTTGTTTCTTGATCGTGTCGTCATTGAATGGCGTGGCTGTTCTGTTACTGGAACTGTTGTAGGCTCAGGATTAGGTTGAACCAGTGGAGGTTGTGTGACAGCCGGTTGATCCTGATTTGTAGCATTTGTCTCTTGGTTTGTTGTTGATGATGAACTTTGAGGCAAAGTTTCAAAGCTCGGTTGTGTGCTCTCCACGATCAGTGATCGAGATTGTACGAGTGGTGGCTGGAAAGGTATGGTTGTATGAGGTTGGTAAGACGGGTTAGGATGAGAGGATTCAGCTTGGGTGTTGGTCGTTTGGTGTCTAAGTTGTTGGTAAGGAAAACTTGTTTCTAGTACCTCACATGCCTAGAGGTGTAGATACGGTCCGTGGTTAGATCTAAACACAAATAGGCACTTTGAGAGAGAGTAACCAATGAATACACAGGGAGTTGAGCGTTTCTCAAGCTTGTTGGGAGCATACGGTCTTAGCCAAGGGTAGCAAAGACACCCAAACGTTCTGAGTTTGTTGTAGTTTGGCGTTTGTTGGAAGAGTTTCTTGTATGGAGATTGATGGTTTAGGACTGGGGTTATGAGACGGTTTATGAGGTACACGGGTGTAGTGAAAGCTTGTGGCCAAAAGGTGAGAGGCATTTTTGCTGTGGACAAAAGGGATAAGCCAGTTTCCACTGTATGTCTATGTTTTCTCTCGGACAAGCCATTGTGTAGGGGGGCGTGGGGTGGAGTGGTAAGATGGGAAATACCGTGGGTGGCAAGGTATGATCACAAGGCTAAATACTCACCTTCATTATCAGAGTAGATGTTTTTTATTTTGGTTTGAAACCTTGTTTCGACAAGTGGTTTGAAATGGGTAAAGATGGTTTTTACTTGTGAATTTTCTGTTAGGGGAAAGATCCAGGTATATCAGGTAAAATGGTCAAGAAAGAGGAGATAGTATTTGTGGTTTTGGGTTGAGGCGACAGGGCATTGCCACACATCACTGAAAATATATTGGAGAGGTTGAGTAGAGTGTATGGTACTTTGTTGAAAAGGTAACTGATGAGTTTTATTAAGAAGACATTCATTGCAAGGATAAATAGTAGATGAAGTGTTTAGGCAAGGTAATGAAAACTTTGAAAGAATAGATTTAAGAGTAGCTAAGGAGGGTTGGCCAAGCCGGTTATGCCATCTATCAAAGGGTGCTTTAGTATTAGGGTAAGAGGCGTGAGCTGATGGGTGTAGGGTTGGCTTTGGCCACTCGTACAAATCACCCTTCATTTGACCTTGGAGTAACTTCACCCCCGAGCTGAGATCCTTCACCTGAAAGTGAGCAGGAAAGAATTCAACAGAGACCTTATTAGTATTGCAAAGACGATGCACTGAGATCAAGTTCTTGCTAGCATTTGGTACACATAAGACATCATCAAGTTTTAAAGTTTTAGATGATGTAGGGAAGGATATGAAACCCGTATGTGTGATCAGTACGGTGGAGCCATCTGCAATGTCGAGTTCTTCTCCTCCATGATAAGGCTGGTGAAGCGCGAGATTGTTAAGGTCTGAAGTCAAATGGTGAGTGGCTCCACTCTCCAGGAGCCAAGGGTTGACGTTGTATGGTGATGCGGAGACAAAGTTGGCTCTTGGTTGCCATGGCGTAGGTGCATTTGCGTACTGATTCTGAGTTCCTTGCAGTCCTCCTGATGCTGGTAGTTGAGTGCAACGACGTGCACTATGTCCAAAGACACCACATAGTTGGCAACGGCCTTGATAGCCTCGTGATGTGGGCTGCTGCGACGTAGGGTTTGAGGGTGTAGTGAATTTTTGTTGTTGCCAAGTTTTATGTTCACGGTACCCACCTCGTCGCGAGTTGTTGGACTTGTTGGCATGGTGTGATCCTCCTATGTTATTTGCGTAGTTAGCAGTGATCGGTGTTGTAGAGACCGGAGTGATCGTGGCCTGGAGTTTAGCTTCTTGATTAATCATCTTCTCATGGAGTTCAGCAACGGATGGTGTTGTGTCACGGCTCTCAATCTGGTCCACCATCGTCTTGTATTCATCAGGGAGACCCCCAAGGATCAATTTGATCTTCGAGATCCATGGGTTTCCCAAGAAGCGCTAGTTGATCAAATCTAGTCGTTAGTCCTTGAAAGTACTCATTGATTGACTTACTTCCTTTGGACCAGTTATCGACTTGTTGTTTCAACTGTTTGATGTGGCCTCTGGTTGGCTTGGCGTACGTCGCATTGAGTGTAGTCCAGATCTCGGCTGCTGTGTTTGTTGTCGGGAGTATCGGTTGGATGGATGTGGTTATGGCGCCTAAGAGACTTCTGTATATCAGCTTATCTTGGCGTTTCCATAGAGTGAACGCAGGGTTGGGGACGTTTCCAATCTCCGTCGTAAGTGTGGCCGTAGGGATCTCGGTGGATCCATCAACGTGACCCGCAAGATCGTAGCCATCAAGTAAAGCATGCACTTGTCGGCTCCATATGAGGAAGATGGAGGATGTGAGTTTTGTTACATTCATCATATTGATGTTGAGGATTGTGGAGGTGGGAGAGACAGTGATTGTCTCGTTCGTGAACGTCTATGTGTTAGACCTTCCTGACATTGTAGTTACAGGGAAGAAGAAGGAAAAATTTGAAATTTTTTGGTGGCGGCTTATTTTAGGTTTGATGCTGCTCTGATACCATATGTGATATGAGGCTGAATGAATCTTTATTAACAATGTAGAAGAGTATATATACATCATAGAGACGGGAAAATGGGTTTTTTATTCCCCAACTTTTTCAAATCAGCAGGTTTAATCCCCATCTGTTAGTTGCTCGAATTTATTCCTCATTTTATCATTGTCAGCGCAAATTTGGACTAAAAAATCAACTGTTAACTCACCGTTAAACATTATTAAATATAAATCAAACTTGGTCGTGTTTTGATTAATAAACTCAGAAAGCCATCAAAATTGATTCCTCAACATTATTGACGATAGGAACCTGCAAACTCTTGTGTCTCAAAATTTATTTTAGCAAAATAAAGAATCTGAAAAAAAAAATTGGAGATTAATAACATAATGACTAAAAGACAAGTTTATATTTTATTCTACAAACCCAAAAGTACATAATTTTGTTCACGTCGAGACATGAAATCCTAACAGAAGAGATCCGTGTTTCACACAGCCAACATAAAGATTAATTACATGAAATTCAAACAAAACCAGAATCATGTTTTACAAATATTGAAGAACACAAGTTAAGAAGAGAAATCAAATCCTTGTGATGCTTGAGAAGTTTGAACTTGTGATGATAGTTTTCACTCTTTCAGTCACTCCTTCACGAACAGTAGCCTTTCTTCTCCATCCATTATCATCACACCTTCAACCACCTTATCTCTCTCTTCGTTACTGATTGTCTTCACTCTTTCGGTCTTTGTAGAGGCAGGAACTTCAACATCTATGTCACTTGATGGCTTTCTTATTGCGTCTTCCTTCCCGTATTCCGGTGAAAGTATTTACCATCGCGTCGGAGTTCTATTGCGTCGACAATGGCAGGGAGAAGAGTCAATTAGGTTTGATCAATTTGGGACTTTCTGAGTTTGATAATCAGAAACACGATCACTTATGATTTTATTTAACGATGTTTAATGATGAGTTAACAGTTAATTTTGTTAATTCCAAATTTGCGCAGATAATAATAAGATGAGGAATAAATGTGCGTAACCAATAGATGAAGATTAAAACTGCTGATTTGAAAAAGTTGGGGAATAAAAAGCTCATTTTCCCTCATAGAGACTAGGGTATTTAGAGTATTCTATTGTATTTACATATAGGTCCTTCTACTTATCTCTATTGTCCTATATCTACCATGTCACGTCACTTTGAGTTAACCATGTTGAATTTAAAATGAATTTGATGAGATATGAACTAAGAGCAGATGACCCTCACTATCGACTAGTAGACATTGGAAGAGATTATGATTCAGTTCTTAGATATCAAATCAAAGGATCACGTGCTTACGCGATTTGTGTCCATCAGAATCATCCTAACCATTACCCCAACCTGATCTTCATGCAGCATCTGCCTCTGATATCATTACCTTCCACCTTCTTGAATAATTAAGGGGTTAAAAGGTTGTTGGTGGTTGTCTTAATCTATGTAATCAATAGCAACTACTTAAAGAAAGCATAATTAAGGATGGCTCTACTAAAACCTTTAAATTGTCATGTTTCTTTTTTTTTTTTGGTAAAAAACTGTCATGTTTCTTAGTTGATGTATTGCTTACAACTTTAAGAACTATGGCTTCTGTGATCAGTAGCTTTCTGTTTTAACTTATTTTGGAAGGAATGTTTACAAGACTGTAAGATATTAGTCTTTATGTGGACAATGCTATAGCTGGTAGGACAAAGTCGATTATGCTCTTAATTTATCACAAAACATACTATTTTAGTTAGGATTGGCTAACTTTTGGTTCAGTGGGTAAGATGAATTCAAGAGACGGAGAACTCCATATTTTTTAATGCTCTTAATTTATCACAAAACATACTATTTTAGTT